AAGTAACTTGGTAACTCAGTATAACTGGGTAATTCAGTAACTAGGTAACTTGGTAACTCAGTAACTGGGTAACTATAGGTAACTCAGTAACTGGGTAACTAGGTAACTTGGTAACTCAGTAACTGGGTAACTATAGGTAACGCAGTAACTTGGTAACTGTAAGTAACTTGGTAACTCAGTATAACTGGGTAATTCAGTAACTTGGTAACTTCATAACTCAGTAATTTGGTAACTTGGTAACTCAGGTAACTTGGTAACTTTGGGAACTGCATGGGTTACTCTCAGTTATTTGGCAACTATAAGTAACTTGGTAACTCAGTAACTTGGTAACTTTGTAACAATCATAATTATGTTAAAATTGGATGGTAAGTGTATGCTGTATTCATGCTGTAACTGTGTAACTTGGCAACTAAATTAAAACAACTACAAGAAAAAGACTCAAAATAGCAAACAAGAACATTTGCCTACTTGTAGTAGTATGGCATTTTCTTGCAGTTGCATGCTTAGAATAATGAGAGCTAACAATCCCAATCTTTAAATTTGTGCTATTGCATTACTAGGCATGAGAATAAAGGATTATTTCCCCCTATAAAGGAATGGATTAATCACTAGCTTTACCAAAATGACGTCACGTTTAGCCACGCCCACCGACAGGAAGTAACATGGCATGAAGTAAATAAAGGCATTTTTGAAAGCTCATATCTCGGTGAATAATTTTTTTTGAACAATAGGAGTTCTCACACTTCATTAAAAAGTTCAGGCAATCATATTTAGCCAATAAAATAAATACCTCAAAAAACCACTGCAGTTACCCTTTAAGAATTTTTTCTGCATCTTTTTGTGACAAAACTGGTTTTATACGAACATCAGCAAGATCAATAAACTTTTCTACATCCCTCCTTTCATCTTCTGTAAAGGTTGCCTAATTATATCAATCAAAATTTGCATAATGTTAGAATCCCAACCAAATCATGATCCACTCTTGTCTTGTCATAAGCCACTATTGCACAATACACTTCCAACACAACCTGTTATTGGCAAAACACAATTACACAAATTACATGCATATCATACCACTCCACAGCTATACACATCTGACAAAGGTGAAACCTTTCCCGTTAATATTTCTGGGGGGTAATAACCATCACTCCTCGCAATTAAAGGTGCAGTGACCATAGTACGACCTGAGTTAGATGTAGATGATGGGAGTTCATAAGCAAATCCAAAGTCTCCAACATGAGCTACAAAATGCTCATCTAGCAATATGTTAGAACTATGGATTTATAAAAATACGAAAAAAGATATTGTAGCTAACGTTTTGATATCTTGATGAATTAACTGTCCTGCATGTAAGTAAGAAATGCCACGAAACATATCTATTAGTGTTGTTGTAGTACCATAATTTTATATAGTTCTAGTACTAGTTCTAGAACTAGAGTTTGATAAAATTTAGTTCTAGTACTAGTTCCGGAACTAGACTTTGATAAAGTTTAGTTCTAGTACTAGTTCTGGAACTAGAGTTTGATAAAGTTTAGTTCTAGTACTAGTTCTGGAACTAGAGTTTGATAAAGTTTAGTTCTAGTACTAGTTCTAGAACTATAGTTTGATAAAGTTAGTTCTATAGTAGGGCCACGTTGACTTTTTCACTTATTATAAATTCAACCTTCATAGGTCATCATTTAAGTAGCTGCCAATTATGAATAAGTGTTTGTTAAGTATTTGTTTATTTTAATGTTTACCACTAAGAATGTAATTAAAAAATACAGCACATTTGTAATTATTATTAAAACCAAAAGTATATAAAAATAAGAGATAAAA